GATTTGATTTTAAATTAATTAAAATTTAATGTAATTATTAAATATTAAAAAATTAATTAAAAAAATAACTTAATGTAATGTAAGCCGTTAAAAAATGTGCTTTATCTCTGAAGTGATGATTTGGAGGCGAGTAATGATTTGAATGGTAATTTATTTCTATATTTTTTTTAAGGTTGAATTTGTCTCTGTGACCTTATTTAGGGGGCAGTTTTGTCTCCGCCAGAAAACGTGGCTACTGCCTCCTTTTTATGTTGCACAAGTTTTCAATTTTTTTTTCTTTTCTTTTTTTCTTATTTTGTTACAACCTTAAAAAAACAGTAAATAATTTATATGTAGATAAAAAAGATAATTGATAAATTACTTGATGATGTTATCATTATTCAATGTAACTTAGTAGAAGCTAAATTTTGTTTTGATGTTTTATTATTTGTTTCTAATAATAAACTTTTAATTATATTTTTCTTATTTTTTATTTTTTAAAACACAAATACAACCTGCAAAACAGGTTGGGAAAAGCTACTATTACTTAAGATTTAGATTGTCAAGCTTGAATAACCAAAGTTTGGAGAGGTAGAGCATGAGACTGAGCTCGAAGATAACTCAAATAAGCTAGTAAGTACTCTTTTTTTTTGTCAAAGCACTGGAGTGTTTAAGCTCAGAAATGAATTTTCAATGTCGTGTTCAGAGAGTTTCGAGAGGTGGAGCACTAGCCCAAGCTCAAAGGTACTCAAATAAACTCACTAGTAGCCCAATCCACGTATTTATTTATTTTAAGGGAATAAAATAATAAGGAAACAAATATTTTTTTAGGTGTGCTTAGTTTGGCATGTGATTATAGCGCGTTCTGTTTAAATGGTGTGTCGTTTCTAAAGTTTTGATTTTTTTAATAGTGGTTTATTAGGGTTTATAATAAATTGAGAATCATCGTATTAGTATTTATTTTGTTTAATATGTGCGTCTAAGGTGCATGTTAGTGTTTACATGATAAATTACATTTTTAATAATACTACATGTTAATAGATAAGATAAGATCAAATGTACTAAAGAGATGCATCTTTGTAAAATTGGTTGGGAGGATATAAAGGTTATTCATCTTGTTGCAGTTTGAATTTAAAAATAACAGAAATCCCTAAAATTTGGATGGAAATTTAGTTGAAAAGTTATTTGTAATATGATTAGTCAAGAAACAATTTGCAAGAAGTATTTAAACAGAAGCTTCTTGATTTTTCATCACACACAACCAACCCTACACAAAACTTATCAAATTTTTAATTCTTTAGCTTCGTAGTGATTGCTTACCTTAGTTTTCATATTTCAATTTTAGCACAGATCCTAGTAGATTTAAGTTGTTTTCAACATTTAAGTACCCAAAGTAGTTTATGTAATTGCTTCTTTGATTTCCTTTTGCGCAATAAACATGAACTTTATTTTAATTTGCATCTCATTCAGTTCATTTTGGATCTATTAACTTAAATTCACAATAGTGGTAACATCCTTGAGATTGTTCAAAACAAATTAACAACCCATTATACAGGAAGGCATCCCTCTATCTTGTAAATCATCTGAAAGGCACAAAACTCAATTTTAAACCAACGTTCTTCCAACCATCCTAACAGAGGTCGATCGTGTGGAATGAGAGGGTCGTTGGGAAATTTTTTTTTTCTTGCTTTTAAAAGAAGTAAGTGGTATCTAAATTTCGTATGTGCGAAGCCATTCGAGGATTTTTGAGGAAACAGTTAGAAATGCATTAATGGCACTTTTTATATTTGATATCTATAGCAAACATAAAGGTAACCTTATTTTTATCACCAATACCATATATATGTATTTTTATTGTACAGCTAATAAAATTAAATTTACTTTTAATTTTTCAATACAAATTATTTTTAAGGAGGCATATTAAATATAGTCTTAACATATGCCTTAAAAATACATTTAAAATTTTTTATTTATTTATTGTATCTATTCCAAAATACTTGTGTTTTGATTTTTTAATTTATTTCAAGTTAATTACTGTTTTTTATTTTTTAAAATAGATAAATTATTTTTTCTACTTCAATTATATCATTATATATTTCCCTTAATTAATCATCCAATCACAAAAAACCTTTTTTAGTTTTTAACTTTTATATGGGTATTATAAATAAATACAAATATTGTTCTTAAATCTTTAATTTAAAACAAAAAAAGTTTAAAAAAATTATTTTAAAACAAATAGAGTTTTTTTTTTTTTTTTATTGAAGTGTGTCATTTGAGGGATAAGCTCTGCCCACGAGTACTCCTCTTCTTGCTCCCTTTTTTTTTTTTATTAATCTTCTTGAATACTTGAGTTTACTCTGTTTTGTGAGTTGTTGGAATATATTAATCTTTTAAAAGAAAGAAAAAAAATTATTATAAAAAATATATAACAAAATAAAAAATATATAGAAAAATATAATATTAAATAATTAATTATGAATATTTTAATAAATTTACGAGATTTTTTAATATTCACTAATAAAATTTTATAAAAATAAACTTGTTTTATGGAACTTGATTTATTTGATTTAAAACGTTATAATTCTAAGATTAATTAAAAAAATTCACACAAATATATAAAGTAAAGAAATAATTATAAAACAGGCAAAAAAATTTTCCATACAAAATGGAAAAAGTTATAATTAAATTAAGTAGAATGTGTCTACAAAATAGATAAAATTTTTACAAAAACTGCACTAATTCTTATTTCTCAACTTAAAACTTATATCCACCAAAATGCCTTTAAAAGTCAAAATATTTACAAAATTGATACAAAGTCGAACTTATTTTAGAGAGACAAAGAAAGTTAATAAAGAGAAGGGAAGGAAATTGAGTTGACTCTACCCTATATATTGCTCTTTACTAGCATTATCAAACTCGTTTTCTGGTTGTTGAGATATATTTGTCTTAAAAAAAGAAAGAAAAATATTATATTAAAAATGGATCATAACTAAGATATATAAAAAAATATGATATTAAATAATAAGTTTATAGATATTTGAATAAGTTTAAAAGATCTTTTAATACTCTATTATAAAAATTTGTAAAACTAAGCTTGTTCTACTAAACCTAATTGACTTGATCTAAAATATGAGTAATTCTAAGATTAAATTAAAAAAATGTTTTTACCCAAATATAGAAAGTAAAAAAGTAACTACTACAAAAATAGCCTCAAAAGAATAAAGACAAAAAATATTCCATATAAATGAAAAAAAGACATAAATTAAGTAAATGTATCTATAAAATTGATAAAAAGTTAAAAATAAAGAAATTACCGTTAAAACTTTTATCCACTAAAATACCTTTAAAGATCAAATTATTTACAAAATTGACATAAAATCAAACTCATTTATAAAGAGATAACAAAGAAAAGAGAGAGAAAAGAATAGAATAGAGTTGTCTCTACCCTCCTTATACTACTTAATATTTAGATTTTTAAACTTGAATAACCAAGTTTGGAGAGGTGGAGTATGAGCGAAAACTTGGAGATGACTCCAATAAACTAATAATTACTCTTTTTTTTTTTTTTGGTTCCATTTTGCCAAACCACTGGAGTGTTCAAGCTTAGATATGATTTCTCAATGTCAAGCTCAAAGAGTTTGGAGAGGTGGAGCAATCCCAAGCTCAAACATACTCAAATAAACTTGCTAGTAGCCCAAGCTACATACTATATATTCACCTATTTTTAAATTAAATAAGTTCTAATTCAATACTTTTATTTTAATTTGCTCCCTCCATATATTTTTTAGGTGTGTTTAGTTTGACCATAATTTTAGAAATAGCTAAAAGTATTTGGTAAATTTTTTTTTATGTAGCTTAAAAGTAATTTCACTCTTTGTTTAAAAGTTTATTAGGAGGAAATATTGCTTTTGAACATTTAAAGTTCCTATAAATAGATTTAAAAAAAGCTAAACGGATTTTTTAAGTTTGCAGTGATTGTTGGTGTGTGGCAACAATCATTTCCTAAGTAGTGACTTTTTCTCAAAAAGTAATTTCGTTAAGAAAAGCTCACTTTTGGCCTTTGCTTCCCGGAAGATCCAAGGGAAAATGGCCTATTTTAGCCTATCATGGTGCCAAATAATCAACAAACTATTTTTATATATAAAGTACACTTTATTAGAACTGTAAAACCTTTCTCCTATAAAACTCCTCAAGCTCAAGTTTTGCTAACATGCATTGAGTTGCCATTTTAGCTAAAAAATGCCAAGATAGGGTTACCTAGAAGAGTGTGTCTACTTTCGAGAAAGATGTTCATTTGATGCCAAAGGCTCAAGATTCTTCCTCTTCAAGATGAGGTGACGAAGTGGTGGCAACATAATACGTTGGGGACAAACCAAGTTTAGAGCATCACTTTTAAAAATGGTAAACCCAAATTGTACTTCATCTAAAGTCAAATGACAAGTATTGCCATTGTGAGTAAACAACACCAATTACAATCAATTAGACTTGATAGAAGTGATCCGAAGAAATTCACATTGTCTTGAAATTTGTAGCATGTGTAGCGTCATTTTAACAAGAGTAACTTTGGAATTTATAACTAAAAAAACTCGTACAACTTATCTTTACATCATGTATATTATACACTTTTCTATTAGACTTGGCAAAGGAAGAGTTGGATCAAGTTCAAGTTGGATCAACTCAGCTTATAAATTATATGGATTGGGTCGCTAACAAATTATGAGTTAATAAAGGTCAACCTTATTTTGAACTTTTGCGACTTATGGGTCAACCCACTAATTGATCTTTCTTCATTTATCACAATTAACACTACACTTTTTAACCAATGAATATATGTTTTTCCAAAGTTTATTGGAGAAAATAAAATATTCAAATGAGATATATATAACACATGTAATATATTAGATGAAATCATAATTTTATAGTGACAAAAAACAGAAGTTCCAAATATCAAATATGGTACCTTGTTATCAAATTTAGCATTGCAAACATTTAATTTATAACAAGATCACAAGTTATGATATCATAAGTCATAACATCATAGGTCTTCAATGGTGGGGGACCTGCAATAGATATTTTTACGATTTTTAGCAGACGGCATTTGATGTAGGAGGAATGACATGCATGTGATTATAGTGTGTTTCGATTAAATGATGCTTCGTTTTTGAGGTTTTCTTTTATAAAAAAATTTATAATACTATAAATATAATATCACATAAAATTATATGTTTATTACAATCCTGCATGACATATAATAAAATATAATATTATATTAAATAAATAAATACATATAATATTATGAATGAATTTTTAAATGAAAAAAACTGATTATATAAATACATATCATGTTATAAACTTACAATAATATGTGGCACTATAAGTATAATATTTTCAAAAAAAAAAAATTTATTAGGGTTTATAACACTACTAAAATCCTTGGTTTCAGCAACATGGAAGCATGTTGCTGAAAGTGGTTCCCATGTTGCTGAAAGTCCTTTAGCAAAAAGCTTTGTTGGAGAAAGCTTGGTGGGTAATACATTACCAACCAAAATCATGTTGCTAATATATCAGCAACATAAGCTATGTTGTTGAAAAAAAAGTATCAGCAACATAACTTATGTTGCTGAAAATTTTCATCGGAATCCGGTGATCGGTGGGGGAGAAATTTCTCACCCCCTTCAGCAACATAGGCCACGTTGCTAAAGATGGAGTTTCAGCAACGTGGCTCATGTTGTTAAAAATTAGTGGTTAACCGGTGGAAAAAAATGGAAATCCGGCATTAGAATTCAGCCTCATTTTCAGCAACACAAGTCACTTGTTGCTGATAGTTTTTTGAATTTTCAGCAACATGATTCTTGTTGCTGATAATCTAATGAATAGTTGGCATCCTTTCTTTTAGCAAGATGTTTCACGTTGGTGATGCTCAAATGCCAATTTTAAGAATTATTTTATTGACAATCGGTACAATGCTATGTTATTTTTTTAAAAAAAAATTATCAATTTTCTATATTAATATTATGAATACACATTTTTCAGTTTCATTAATATTTACAAATAATTTAAATAAATTATTTTTGTACTAT